GGAGGCGCCCTGGGGAGCAAGGCATGCATGCACCGACTGGGTGGCCGGCGGCCTTACCTGCTTCGTGCGGAGCGAGCCCGGCCCTGAGCCCCAAGCCCCGCGGCGCCAGCCGGTTCTCCGCGCCCCGGCCCGTGACGCGCGTGGCGCAGCAGCTAAAGCACAGCCGGCGTTCCCACGCGCTTTTCTCCCGAGCAAGATGTCGCCGAGAGGCGGGAGGCGAAGGCGCCGCCTCAGTCCCGGGAGCAGACGCCTCCCCCGCGCGCTCCCGGCCCCCGGCCTCCGCCCAGCTCCGTGGGGGCGGCCGCTCGGGTTCAGAGGGCAAGGCGCTGGGACGCAGGTGCCTCCGCAGCCGTGGGGGCCAGGCACCCGTGACCCAGCAGGCGCTGCCCCAGGCGCCCCTCACTGCGGGAGGCGTCGGTTTGGCAGGGAAATCCCTCTGTCGAGTGGAGGAAGCAGCCCCCAGGCGGTGGTGAGAACCCCCCTCCGAGACTCCGTCAGCCCCTGAGCTCCGGCTTCCTCTCTGTGTTCGCAGACTTGTCTCAATGGCTTTAACCGATTTAATATTGTAGTTCAGTTCCTTTCTTGTTTACGCCCCACAGAATTTTTTAAAATACTGATTAAAACCACGTCATCGGGTCACCCTTGCACAGGAAAGCGCGAGGGAGTCCGTCTGTTGCGCAGGAGTACACAAGGTTGCCCTCTGGTGCTACAGTTTCAAAAGCAACCCCCACCAGCTCCTCCTTTTGTGAAAAAAAGCCTTGATACAGTAGCTACAAAAAAGATTCCCGAAGAAAGAAACAAACACAGCAGTTAAAAAGCAGGCCAGAGCCCTGAGGGCATGCTGGGCTCGGGCCTCCACCCTGGGGTTCCCAGGCTTCGCCTACTCTTTTCCCTCCTGTGTGCAGGTGCTGATCCGCCCCATCACAGCTGGCTGATCCAGAGATGGGCACTGGCCAAGTGGGATGGGTGGGACTGTCCTGACAGCTGGAGGTTGTAGTTCAGAAGCCCTTAGCACCCCGGGTGTCATGGACAGCTTTTTCTAAGCCGGAGCAACATGGTCACTGGCTTCTGAGGTCCCCACAGAGGCCTGACCTTTTCCTTCCTGGTTTCCGGTGCTCCATCTGCCTCAAGCAGACTCAAATGCATTCTCCCTTTGTTTAAGCTGGTCAGGGTTGGTTTTAGATGTTTGTAACAAAATAACCTTAAAGATACTTAATAATGGGGGGAAACAATGTACAGTTTGCCAACAAATACAGGCCACAATCTGTGTGTTTTGCTGCATAATTCGCTCCCAGTCCTAGTGGTCTGACAGGAAGATGTCGTATTTCTCACACTCTGAGGGCTAACCCAGCAGTCTCTGCCTGTTTCCCTGTGGCCACTCATATCATGTACCCAGGTATTCAGTGTGTGGGAGGCGGGGGGTGCTGGGCAGGACAGCTCCAGGCTGGCCGTGCGGCTGGCTGTGGGCTGGGCTGTCTTGGTTGTATGTTCCAGCCAGCTAGACTGGCCCTCTGGAGATCACTTACATCTCCTGGGATCGCGAATGATTTGGGTTTTGTCTTCTTGTTTCTATTTTCCATAATTAAAATGTATGTGAGCACTTCAAAAAGTTATTGGAAATGCCTATTATCAAAAAAAATTATGCATGGATCTCAAAATTTATTTGCACCAGGACCAGCAGATGTTGTAATGGTTAGGTCACTGGGCTCCTACACAGTCAACCACAGTTTGAGTCCCAGACCAGATGGTTCCAAACTCATGCCAGGCATGAGTGCATGCATGCCCCAAACTCTCAAGAGGAGAGAAGAGGAGAAGGGATTATGGCGTGACCATCCCCCCTGGGGGGTGATTTCTCACTTTCTGTCTCTCTGTCTCTCTCTCTCTGGCAAGCCCACATGCCCTGTAGCAAAAATCTCTCAAAAAAAAGGTATTTGCACCAAAATAAACTCATAGTGTAATTCCATTTTCCATGAACTTTGTTAAGTCGTTTTGTGTTACTGCTATCCCAATGTCTAAAGGCATTATAATGTCACGATTTACCACTTGCAAGTGGCAGGAAACAACTCCAAGTAGTTTAAACAGGAAGGCTGTTTATTGGCTCAGGCAGAGGAGACCCAGGAGTTCAGTGGCTGTCCCTGGGGCCCTTTTTCATTCTACTTTCCTGTGGAGAGCTGGCGTCTTCTTCCCCTGGAAAGGAACTTCATGGGGCTGGAGAAAGTGCCTCTGTGATCTTAGCTGAGGACCATCAGGGAAACAGAACTTCCTGGTATTCCAGTTACAGAGCAGTCCTTGGCCACAGGCCCAGCGGCTGTCAAGGGTGCGAGATGACATGATTGGCTGAGTCCAAGTCACACCCATCCCTGCAGGTGGGGAGAGGGTGGGAGGCGGGGACTGCCAGCCCCAGGGGGCCAGGAGGACCCACCAGAGCACTGGCAGACAAAACGACATATGTTCATTGATGTATTTGTCTTTAAATCGCAAGAACAGGATGGGCAAGACTGGATTTGACTGCACTGAGGGGTGAAAAACCCCTGGGATGTGGTTAGCTGTACAGAAATCAAACCCAGTGGTAAGCAGCGTCTGTGAGGTTGTATTTCTGCATCAGAGAAGGTGAACGACCCTCTGGAGGACTCCCCATTCATGTTGCCAATACAGACAATGATGTCTATTTGTCCTGCAGGTGGGGCAAGGTATAATGGTCACGAGTGTCACCAGCTTGGGGGATGTTTCTTGAGCAAGAGGGAACTTTTACAAAGGCGTAAGGGGCCCACAGGAGGAATGGAGGGGTGAAATGACCAGACATCCAGGAGGTCTAGAGGCCAGGCTGCAGGGCCTGGCATGAGCAGGGGAGGGAGGCTGCCATGACAGAGATCAGGGAACTGTCCTAGTCCATTTTTTTGTCACTAACTAAATACAAAGACTGGGGGGACCAGCAGTTAGCATAATGGCTATGTCGCTGGACTCCAATGTAGTCGACCGCGGTTCGTGTCCCAGACCCGGTGGCTTAAACTCACACCGGGCGCCTGTGTGTGCGTGCCCAAGATCCCAAGAGGAGAATGGAGGAGAAGGGATTGTGGCGTGGCCATCCCCCCTGGGGGGTGATTTCTCGCTTTCTGACTCTCTGTCTCTCTCTATCTTTCTGGTGAGCGCACGTGCCCTATAGCAAAAACTTCTCCAAAAAAAAAAGGAAAAAAAAATAAATATAAAGACTGGGAAATTATAAAGAATCGAGGTTTAGGGCCAGCCCGTGGCATGGTGGTTAAGGTGGCTGGATCCCACATGCCAACTGCACTGATCAAGTTCCAGACCTGGTGGCTTGAGAAGCACTGCAGGCACGTGTGCATGTGTGCCCACATCCGAAATGGAGGAAGAACTGCCATGTGACCGTGTCCCGTGGGGAGGGGGTGCTTTCTCACTTTCTCTCCCTCTGTCTCTCTCTTATGTCTCTCTCTCTGGCATAAATTTTTTAAAAGAAAAAGAGGTTTATTTGGCTCACACATTTGGAGATTCAAAGTGGGTTCTTCCTCTCAGACCCGTGCAGCCGCTGGCACGGGGTCCCGCCTGGTCACACGGAGCAAGGCGTGTCCATGTCGTCTGTGTCATCGTGTTCTCATGAAGCCGCCAGCAGTCCCTGGTGAGGCTGCACCCCGGTGATCTGACCTATCCAAGCCACCTCCCCACGTCGCACCGTGTTTAATACCATCATGGCATCAGTTTCACCCTCCCAGCGCTATTCCAAGGTGTACCAAATTCTAACATATGCATCTGGGGGGAGGGGACACATTCAATCCACCACAGGAGCCAGTAGAAAGGAAGGTCTGATGCTTGAGTCCAGAAAGATAAGAGAAAAAAGCAGACATTTGTGACACAGGCAAACCGATTCAACATAAGAAAACCTGCTAGTGACCGGGTCTGGCCCACAGAGGGGTGGGCTGCTGGCGGGGACAGGCAATCCCAAGGCCATCGGTGCAGGGAATGCTATGCCTCCCTGCGTGGATGAATCCCTTCGCTTTCCCCACAGCCTTTCCACCCTAAGCTCTGACACCGTCCTCAGGTGTGTTTGTGCCCCACCCCCTGTCCTGTCTTAGCCATCCAGACCCCAAGGCTTCCTCGGCCTCACTCTTCCTTCCCTGTAAAAGGAGGCTGTTCTTTCTATGCCTGCTCTGCTCCCACCCCCCTGACTCCCACCCTCCCACCCTCCTGACTCACACCCTCCTGAATCCCCCCACACTCACAGAAAGGGGGACCCAGTGGGTCTCTGGCTGGAATGCTGACATGAAGACCTAGTTTCTAGGACAGCAATGGCCACAGCACTGAGAATAGTACCAGTGTCCACAGCTAATGTTGTCAGGGTGGGCACCGCTGGGTCTAGAACCCCCTCAAAGCTCCACATGATGTTTCAGACCTCCACACGGCTCTGGAAGCCACCCCAGCAACTTTCAGACGGGGTTCTCCTTAATTAGCCAGAGTTGGTGCCCAGGCCATGCAGGTAAGCACTTTGCTACAGACATTGGGCCCGCCTGGCTCTGTCCTTGGGCGGGCTTCCAGCTTGCTTGGTAGCTTTCTATGCCTCCTCCTCCTCCTTCTCATTTTATTATTTTTTTAAGTTTATTTTTTCCATAAGCAAGAGAGAGAGAGAGACCCAACAGGTCCCCATGCCACGATCCAGCCCCACTTTGGCCTGCAGCAGATCACGGGCACATGCATGCCCGACCTGTGCAGGCAGGTCTCTGATGCCAACCTGGAGCCTTCCCGTGGGGTGCGGCGTCACCACTGCGCCCCTGTCCGGCCCCCCACCCCCTCCCCCTTCTCTCCTCGTCTCCTACCACCTCTGCACAGGGGACCGTGTGGCATGACCTCCATGTGCAGTGGCATGGCGTCATCACTCAGCATCTGGCGCCCTCTGGAGGCCCTCTAACCTACTGGCTGCCTTCCCTGTCCCCTCCAACACTTCCTGCTCGCTTCCTGCCCCAGAACCCTTCTCCTGCATTCCTACTTCCTGTCCTCCTCCCAGTCACAGGGTCAGAGTGTCAGAGTCATCTCTGAGACTGCCACTCCATGAACAATCACTGGCTATCAGACAGTGTCTCAAAGGGCCACCCTGCCCCTCGGCTGGGACTGACCTGCCACGGGGTGCCAAGTGGGGACAGTCACAAGTACCTAGCCCCTTCACAGCCCTGCAGAGACAAAAGGCAAGATCCAAATGAGGGTTTGCTGCCAGGGGCAGCCTGACTGGACTTCTGCACTCACAGGTCTCTGAGCCCACGAGTGATGGGGACCTCACCGGGGTCCAGAGGGGACTGTGAACAGTGTGGCCACCCCCTGTGGTGAGGGCTTTCTCTCCTCCTCCTTCTCCTCCTTATCCTCTCTCTCTCTCTCTCTCTCTCTCTCTCTCTCTTGCATGCACTCTCTGGCGATGAAAAAAAAAAAAAAAAAAAAAAAAGAAAAAAGAAAAATGCATAGGATAAGCGCTTTTACGTGGACAAGACCTGGTCTAAACATTTGTTTTGCTGAATTATTCCCAGTGGTCATGACCTATTTCTCAAGGCCACGCCAGTCACAGGAAGAACGGGAAGGATTTAGTCTGTGTTCCTACTAAGAGACCTGGGGAGACAACCCCGGCTGGAAAGCCTGGGTCCTGGCAACAGGAAGAGGTTATGGAGCACAGAGGGCCGCCATGCGCTCTGCCCCGTGGAGGCCCACAGTGACCAGGACTCCCACCTGCGTCCCCCAGGAAAGCTGCCTAAGGCCTTCACCTGCAGAAAAGAGACAGAGACCGTCTCCCTCCCCCCCCACCAGTCTCCTTCTCCCTCATCCCTCATCCCTTCCTCCAGACCCCAGGAAGCCTTGGGCCCAGTGCTCTGCCCCCTACAAAACCCCTCCCCTGAGGGCCCCATTCTTTGCCTCCTGAACAAAGCAGTCAAATCTCCCCCAATTACTGAGAGCTAGACAATGAGCCCCAAGCCCCAGCAGCATCACCATGGCGATGTGGCACAGCCATCCTGTGCCAGCCCCCTGTGGCTGTGTGGGACACGCCTGCTGGAAAGAACCAGACTGCAGTTCTGTCTTCTCCACCGAGTGGGATGCCAGCCCTGGGCCCCACCCATCTGCCTTCATGAAGCCCTCGGTCCTGTCTGCACAGACACCGTCGGCCTGCCACCAGGCAGACAGGGGACGGAGCTTTTATGAGACTTCCTGAGTGCCGGGGGCGGTGAACGTTCCCCTGCCCCCAGCTAGTGCACAGTGTGTCTGCCCTCTGATGAGAGCCGCCTTCCAGCTCTGTGGGCTGGGAACCAGGAAACGCTTTTGACGGAGGCCTGTCCAGCGGACGGTCCTCCAAGTTCTAGATGTTTCCCTCATTCCTGGCCAGTCCCCAAGAAAGAGTGCACTTCAGGAACATCACGCCAGCCTCCCAGATCTGCTTTTTTAGTAATTGCATTTGGTGCGGGAATTCTGGCTTCCTCATGAAAAGAAACAGCCAGATTAAACCCTCCCTCAATCTACGTGAAGAAGAGCTGCGGCCTGGCCCACCACCCGCCTCAACCCCTTTGCCAGACTCGGAGGGAAAACTTGTCCCAGTCCTTTGATGACAGAGTGACATGTTTTGGCCCCATTGCACACTACAGTCTGTCCCTCCTTTGCCCACTAGAACATACAAGGGGGTTTCAAAAAGTTCATGAAAAAAATGGAATTAAAATATGAGTTTATTGTCATGGAAAACATCTTTGAAATCCATGCAGATCTTTGCGTTTTGCTATTTTTTGATGACCCCTCATGTAAAGTCAGACTACGGCTGCCCTGTGCGCGAACCTACCATAACCCGCTGTCTTCCACCCTGGTCTTTTCTTGCGCTGGCTTCCTCTCTCACGGGTTTCATCCTCTTGTGTTATATGTATTTTGGGACACTTACTTAAATTGTTACTACTTCTCTAGAATGAATTTGAAAAGGAAGCATTTTTAATTCAGTGAGACTTGTAGGACTATGTAATAAAAATCTATCCAGATCTCGCATAGGGAGGCATGATATATTAAATATGTTGATTGGAAATTAATACCTAAATACACATAAATTCTCTTTGAATTGAGGAAGTGTATAAACAAACCACAAGCAGGACCAGCAGATGTCATAATGGTTATGTCGCTGGTCTCCCACATGGTTGACTGCAGTTCAAATCCCGGACCTGGTGGCTTGAGATAGTGTGTGTGTGTGTGTGTGTGTGTGTGTGTGTGTCCAAAATCCCAAGAGGATAATGAAAGAGAAAGGATTGCAGGATGGCCCTCCCCCCAGTGGTAGATTGCTTGCTCGCTTTCTGTCTCTCTGTCTCTCCAGGGAGTGCATATATCCCATCACAAAAAAAAAAAAAACAACAACAAACAAAACTCTCTTAAAACACACACACACACACACACGGGTAAAATTTAAATGAATTATTTGTGTTTCTTTCTTTTTTCTTTTACTTTTTAGTACTTTTGCTATGGGATGTATGTGAGCAAGAAAGAGACAAAAAGAGAGAAGGTGCCCCCTCCCTCCCCTGGGGGAGTGGGGTTGACCATGGCTCAATCCCTTCTCCTTCATTCTTCTCCTTGGATTTTGGGCCCTCATTCACCCACACACACACACACACAGCATGATTGTCAAGCCACGGGATCTGGAGCTTGAACTCCAGTCTGCCATGTGGGGAGTCCAGTGACATAACCACTATGCCATCTGCTGGCTCCATGTCTAGCATGTTTTACAAGCTGCTGGGTCCAGGACTTGAACCACACAGTCTATCATTTGGGATCTAGCTACCTTAACTATACACCACTGGCTGGCCCTGTGTTCCCATTCTTTCTTTTCTTTTCTTCTTTTTTTTTTTTTTTAGAGAGAGAGAGATTTTTGCTATAGGGTGCACGACCTCATGGGAGAGACAGAGAAAGACAGAGAGACAGAAAGTGAGAACTCACCCCAGGGGGGACAGTCACATTGCAATTCCTTCTCTTCCATTCTCCTCTCAGGATTTTGGGCATGCACACACTTGTGCCTAGTGTGAGTTTCAAGCCACTGGGTCCAGGACTCAAACCACAGTCAACTACGTGGGAGTCCAGCAACGTAGCCATTATGCCACCTGCTGGTTTCTTTCCACGGTAGTGGCTATAGTTGACACACGTGAGTGAAGGTAGGACAAAGGAGGTTAAAACAGACTCGCCATCCAAGCAGTCGTCCCCTCCACGTGTGGGGAGTCAGGGAGGCATCTCCATGCAGCTTAAGGATGTCAGCCACAACTTTTCCAACACAGCATTTAGAATATTTAGAATGCTCAGCTTTGAAGTATTGCGATTGGGCAGAAGTGATTTCAGAAGTCTTTTCACAGTGGACATCTTTGTATGAAATAAGGACAGACTAACAGCCTCAGGACTACCCATGGCTTTGGCATTGATGCCGAATTCCAAGGAGACTGAGTTCCGGACACAGCAGCGAGAGCTGGCCGTGCTCAGAGCAGGAAGACCCGGTCTCAACCTCTTGGCTTATTAAATTGCCATGGTTTAGTGAGTGGTTCCCAACTTCGGGGGACACATACTCTCTTTTTTTTCCTTAAAGAATTATTTATTTAATTCCGTTTGTTATTATTCTTTTTTAATTTGACCGAAGAGAGAGAGATGGGGGAATGGAGGAAGCTGCTGCCAGGTCCGGGACACGAACCACGGTCAGCCGTGTGGGAATCCAGCATCTTTAACCCCACATATTTACTCTCTTGAGAAAATGATAAAGCTATGAACTCTCTTCCCAGAAAGGAAGAAATGCACACATTAGACATGTGTGCTGAACCCTCCCCTGAGGTTGACTCGGGGGCTTGGGAAAAGAACTATCATTTCCTCTAGAACAAGAGCATACCACGCATGCCTAGTAGGACCAGCAACAAATGCCTGTTTCATGGCAGGGGTGGCTCCTGTTCCCTGGGATGCCACTAGGCTGGGAGAACAAGTGACAAGGGACAAGTGTGACCAGAGAGACAGCCTGTCTCCAAAGTGCAAAGGAACAGTGGGATTAGTGCTGAGTAATTTTTTTTTTTGAGAGGTTTTTTCGCTATAGGGCGCGTGCGCTCGCCAGACAGACAGAGAGAGACATAGAGACAGAAAGCGAGAAATCACCCCCCAGGGGGGATGGTCACGCCGCAATCCCTTCTCCTCCATTCTCCTCTCGGAATCTTGGACACGTACGCACACGCGCCCGGCGTGAGTTTTAAGCCACCGGGTCTGGGACGCGAACCACGGTCGACTACGTGGGAGTCCAGCAACATAGCCATTATGCTAACTGCTGGTTCCCCAGTGCTGAGTAATTTAGGACAGGGAGGGAGGCAGAGCGCATTGAGCTTGCAGTGGGTTTAAAGGTAAGCTTCAAGGAGATTTTAA